AAGATTCCACATATTCCAAACCGATTGCTCATCAATCACAACTTTCTTTACTTTCCTACTTTGATACACACTTTGAACAAGAGAAAGGAACGAAAAATATTCAAATAATAAGAGTTCACTTAGTCATTGGGTATGAAAATTACTCCTTGTGAAGTCCATAAAACTTGTTGCTTTCCGCCTCTAAATACCGATCGATATAGGGTTAAGGAAAGAGCTACGAACTACTCTCCTCTTGGTGCTCTTTTCCTAAATGGTGGTGATCTATATTTTGTTCTTGGATTCGAAAACACGTTTTGGGATTGAGGTGCATCTCGAATTGCTTTGTAAATGAAAATTGAAGAAAATGAAATAAAAATTAAAATTGGATGTGGGAGAACAATAAAAAAAACGGTGTTGCAAAGGCAAGCTCGCACTAGTGCTTCCTTATACATGCTTTAGAATGATAGGAGACATACATATAGGTGTTGAGGAATTCACACGGATTCCTCCACTCACCACGCTTCTCGCCCTACTATCTACCAATGGTCCCTCCATTGAAGATGGACTAGGGAGACACGTGAGTCAGCCAATCTAGTTATGTTTTATCCTAAATATGTTGGGTACCAAACCGTGTATTGCATTCTGTGTGCCTCAATCACGTGTGTTTCCTTGTTACAATCCACCCACATGAACGCATATAAGAACATAAACCGATGCAATAAATATAGAGATGTGAAAATCAAACAATCCATATATATAATCAAGAATCAATTATTACACTATCTTAGGAATCTCTTGGGTTCTCCAACCTATACAACTAACAAACTAGCCACTCATGGGGACAGAATCTAGGAGATACATCAGTCGAAAAGACGAGAAACTTAGCTTCTGTGAAATGGCAACCTAATAAGGGAAACAACTCCTAATGTGAAATTATGGCCACCATTCTATCCTCAAAATACTGATTGCTTCTAGTTTGTGGTGGTTTGATATGGAGGCAGAATGATCTCATGTAAAGACTTTTCTTCAAATGATGGCCACGAGGTCTATCTATAGGTCTTTCTATTAGTTTTGTGACAGATCTTCTAGGAAGGGCAGGATATCTTATCATAATGAGTCAAATTGAACCTTCTCAAAAATTATGTCTAATCACTTGAGATCCCCCCCCCCCACTATTTCCTATGCCCAAATTGTAAAATGAGTTGAATTTTGGCTTTTGTTCGACAATTTGGGCCAATATCTTGGGCATCGACATCTCACTCCATTTATGACCCCCATCATGCTTGTCCTGATGTCTCCAGCTCGTACATGGTGGCCTGCTAGGATGCTATGGCATGAAAAAGCATGAAAACTACCCACAAGGTATCAAAAGTATTAAAACATCTCTAGAGGCTACTAAACACATCTTTGAGAAATTACCATGTAAATCCAAGTCAATATGGCAAAATAAATGTATAAATGCATCTTTAGTACATTTTGCTTTGTTTTAAGTGAAAATCAAAACTATTTTATCAATTTGCTAATAATAGACATATGTTGTGTTTTGGTATGATTTAATGCCTTTTTTGTGTTATTTTGTGCTTTTCAAGGTCCAACACACTTTAGGATGATTGGATCCACAATTGTATCAAGTTCGAGGATCAAAAGGGGTAATTGCTATTTGCTAGAAGGTCAAGGATAGTTTGTCCATAAAATGAAGCTCAGCGGAGGGAAAGTCGCCATGAAGTCGTCATATAAGTCCAAGAGGAGGATATTTGATAAATTTTATCTCAACCCTGCAAAGAAACCCACGGTGGCCTTATGACGGTGTCAACCATTGTTGGGCCAAACCCAACAAGTTACAACCAAAATTCCCCACATGGATGGTTTATCCATAAAATGATTGGATCTACACTTTAGGATGATTGGATCCACAATTGGATCAAGTTCGAGGATCAAAAGGGGTAATTGCTAGAAGATCGAGGATGGTTTGTCCATAAAATGAAGTCCAATGAAGGGAAAGTCGCCATGAAGTCGTCATATAAGTCCAAGAGGAGGATATTTGATAAATTTCATCTCAACCCTGCAAAGAAATCTACGGTGGCCTTGTGATGGTGTCAACCATTGCTGGGCCAAACCCAACAAGTTACGATCGAAATTCCCCACAAACAATCCAAAGCAAGAAGAAAACTAGCGGTGCCCCAAATGTATTTTCTCTCGCATGTGGCAAAAGCTCGGAGTGGAATGCATTAGTGGAAGGGATAGAGCATCATATTAGATCGATACACAGGTGCATCTTATTAATGAGATTTTATGCATGTTAATCTAGATGAAACTACCTAAGCAATAATATTTGTTACGTGTTTCTTGTTAGTTTAATTAGAATAGAATCTGGATCAAACCATAAGGAACATCACTCCATCGTATTTACCTTTCTGTCATCTCGTTACTTGAATACATACCTCTAGTTTCAAAGTAGTTACTATCAAATAGGGGTGTGCAACGGTCCAGTCCGAACCGAACCAAACTCAGGAGAATCGTGATCCAATAGTAAGAGACTTCTATGGACCCAGGACTCGACTAAAAGTGTATTTGGTTCAGTTTGGTTTGGTTGATCTTGTCCAAATGTCACTTCAGTCTATTTTTCTTTAGTATTTATAAAATTCATTGGACCAAGGATCGGACCATATTATAGTTAGTTCGGTGATGTTCTGTACGTACTAAACCATTGCACACCCCTGCTTTCAAAGACCCATGGAATATGACTCTAGAAATACTTAAAAAAATTATTACTTCGATTGCAAAACTACTGCATATTGTGCATTAGCACCCCCCTCCCCCCCCCCCCCAAATACGTAACTTTATTTGGAAGTTTCGTCATCTCATTTTACCTTTATGCACAATATTGCGAGATATGGTATCGCTTGTTCGGTTCATTGACCAGTTTACCATCCAAAAGCGACCTTATCGATATTGGCGTACCATGGTGGTATTCTCTGTGCCATTCATTGTGCAATATGCCATTATACCAAAGAAACATTATAAAGTTTATTTTTACACTACGATTGTCCTGTGGCTTACGGGACTTAGGCATGATGGATTATTGTTGAACTCCCTCTCTAATTTTCCCCCCTCATTAGCTTCACTTGATTTCTTTTGGATACTCCGAATATGATCAATTGCAAGTCGTTTGTCTTCTTTGGCCTCTATGGAAATTTCGAAACGAAGTTATGTTTCGACATGTCCAACCTACATTTCCCATCCTTGCACACCAATCTTCCATTGAGGTACATCAAATCTCGCTGCATACTTAAACCGGCAACCAATTAGGGCCCCTCATCGTCTCATCCTCTTCATTCCTTTGCTCATATGTGGTGTCCAATGCGTTTGGGTATTGTGAAGCTCAATTTTTTTTAGAAACTTGTGAAGCTCAATTTAGTGGGGCTCTAAGACAATTTAGCTTCGTGCCTACAGATTGTGTCGTCTTGGACAGCTCTAATGCCCTTCTCTATGTCTTCACTGGTAAGTGTGATTATATATGGAATCCTTATATGGCTGAATAACTTGTAGTTAGTGACACGATTCAACAATGTGTGCAGTTCGCTGTCACTTGAAAAGGTCATTGAAGGAGACTCGTAGGTGATTATACAACAACTCTAGCGACATGATTTGGACCATCGTTTGTGTGGAAGCATACTTCGTGAGATTGAGTCTAAGCTTTCAACTTTAAATTCTTAAATCTCAATTCCTTTGTACTTTGGCCTGTAAATAGGATTGTCTATTTTGTGATGAAAAAGGTCTTGCAACAATTTTCCATTTTTTACCTTTATTTTTGTGTTTGAAAATTGCAAAAACTATTATAAATGAGTGGAGTTTGCTACATCGACTTACCAGCCATCGCCAATTAGAGAAAATGGTCGACCGCTTCCACCAAGCGGTCAAACGGATGAACCATTGCTAGTGAAACAAATATATTTATTCAGAGACATCTAATATAATAGATATGCTTGCTAGCAAGAGAGTTGGAGTTAGTACAAAGGTTGAAGCATAAATGAAAAGTCCATCAATATCATATCATCTTGCTTTTACTTGTTATTATTCCAGAAGTGTTAAAAGAGAGTGTTATTTCTTATTGTCTAGGCCTATAATCTTCGTAGTGATTTGGTTGCCCACTGTGATAGGATGATGCATTACTACAAAACAGTTCGTATTGTCCATTATCTTCTTAATGTAAGTAAAAGGTAATTGTGTCATTTTGGTCGATCGTCCGTTGGAAGCAGTAGAGCGTTTGTCGGAAGTAGTAGAGTGTTTGATCGGTTCCAAAGAGCAGTGGTAAGTTAAAGGTTTTTGTTTCATTCGGTCGACCATTTGTCGAAAATGATCGAACTGTTGTTGAAAACAGTAGACCAATTTCCTGAAGCGGTATACCATTTGCCTGAAGCAATTGACCGGATACCTGAAACGATATGCCCATTGCCAGAAATGGTTGATCATTTTCTCCAAACAACAGTAACTTGTCAGTCACCATAAGAATACCCTAAATAATTTTCTTCATATCAATAAAAATAACTCTTATCGTTTGAGGAAAAGAAAAGGAATTATTAATATATCTCTCTTGGACATATATTGCTTTTTTTTTTTTTTTACATATATTGCTTATTAGACTTAAATATATGATTAGGCACATCCATTTCTGCAGTTAGGAGAACAACCGAGAATTTTGTTACAGAGCTGAAAGTTTGGTCCAAGACAATCGTCAACCCACGGGCCACGACATGGTCCTCCTTTCCTTTCCCCTCCTTTCATTTCTCTACTATTTTTATAACACACGGTTAAATAAGAAAGCTAAAGAAAAAGGGGGAAACAGAGGAAGAAGAAGAAGAGTGCAACCACGTGTACACACACTCAATTGACCATATTAGTAATTACCACTCCAATTGCATAATTGGCAGGGAAATAGAAAAGTATCGTCGCCTAACAAATTCAGGGTATTTGAAGAAGAGGGAGGAGGAAGTTGTATAATGGTGGTTCGGTTGGGGAGGTTTTCCTATAAAAACCTGAAAAGGAGGCTCATTCCTGTGGCATTATCCTCCCTCTCTTCCCTTTCTTGGTCTGTTTTCGCAACTCCATTAGCAAACTTAACAGGGCACTAGAGAGAAAAGAAAAAGCAGCACATTCTATAGCTTTATCTCTCTCTCTCTCTCTCTCTCTCTGCCTCTGGGTTTGCTCTGTTTTTCCACCTGCTTTTTGGCTAGCTTTCTTCTTCTCCTTCCATCTTTTTTTTGCTTTCTCGGCAAACAACAAACAGGAGTCAGCTTTCTAGCTCGTCCTGGTGGGTTACATTGAGTTGTAAGCAAGGTATGTCTCCACTAACTCCTCGATGCTTGTCATTGTGGCCGGTACTCTGTTTCTCATATAGGCCAATCGCGCGTCTCAATTTTGGGATTTCGTGTAGGCATTTCCATTTTTTTTGGGCGGGAGGAATGGAGAAAAGGGCGGGAAGACAATATCGTTGCTCTGCGTGGCGGCGGCGGAACCTGCCCATCCTCTTCCTCTTCTTCTTCTTCTTCTTCCTTGTCTTCTCCGGTGCTGCTTCGGCCGCCGGGAATGGGAAGACTCATGCCAGGTGATTTCTCTTGTCTATCTGTGTTGATGATCTTTTGTGTTGTGTGGAAAAATGCTTGTTTTGATCTTAGTATCTAGTGCTTTTTTTTTTCTTTCTTCTTCTTCTTGCTTAAATCTTTGCAAATTGAAGACTTTGAAGCTCTTGGATAAGGGGTTTTTTTTTTTTCGATTTTCGTCTGCACTGCACATATATTTAGGGGGTAAGGGAAGGAGAGTACTAGCAGAGTCATAGAGAGTTCACATGTCACGGAACTGTAGCAAAGTGATGAAGTAGCAATCCACCAAATGCACCCATCAAAACCTTTCAAACAAGAAACACTAGTCTGTTCGTTTCGGTTCAGTTCGGTTCGTTTGAGACCTGATTCGGGTCTTTGTCATCGTAACTCATTCATTCACTACGGTTTACGATTTTAAATCTTACATTATGTGAAAGAAGGAACTGAACAGACAGACAGAGTAGCTTCCGTTGCAGTTCTGGGGAGATATGGGCCCATGAATTTCACGGGATGAATAATAATTCATTGTGAATTAATTAATTATTTTTTTATCATCTCTTAAATGGAGCTTTCAGTTGAATTCAATAATAAAGCAAATTTATTGGAATCCATATTCCCTCTTTCTTTCCTTTTTTGGGTTGTCCTTATGTGTAATTAGTCACCCTTCCAGTTACCAAAACCCTTCATAATAATCCCCTAATTATGCATAATTTTGTTTAGCGAGCAAACACATACCGAAAGTGAAAAGCCCAGGAAATAGAATAAAGAGAAGGGCGCCTCCCAATTCCGATAGATTCCTGCGACCACTTTCCCCTCCTCCACAAACCACAAACCCTCTTTTTAACCTTTTCCCGGGCGGTGGTGGTGGTGTAGGTGTAGTAGAGTGTGGTCGGGAACCCCAACTTTGTCTTTCTCTTTTTGTTTTCTTCCAACTGTCTGCAACTTTGTAAGTTGTATCTTTCCTGTGGGCCACCAACCCAAGCAAGCAACCATCTTTTCTATCTTTCCTGTGTCGAATGAACCAAGCCGCTTGTGAGCAACTCGATGTTTGAGCTTTTATTTGTTCGACACTCGACTCGTTATTTAACAAGCCGGTTCGCGAGCCAACTCGTTAGTAAACAAGACAAGGTTGAGCTAGACCATGCTCGGTTTGATAAGCTCGTGAGCTAGCTTGACTCGGTGACTTGTTGATCAGCTAGGGCTCGCGAGCTGGTTTGTTTAGAGCTTGTGAAATGATTGATTACTCTTTCGAACATGTATATTATTTTGTTAATACGATCGTGTGTATGGAAATTAGTTGTTATTTTTAGTTTCTAGTGTTCTTTCATCAACTTTGCGTCGACGACACTCAACTCATATGCCACGGATGGCTTCAAATTTGCTGATGATTCGTCATAATTTTTCAGTCACCACTAATGTCCTGTGTTGGTATAATTGCATGTGCCCATTCGGAAACCTTTGCTTCTCATTCCCATTTTCTACTTCTGAATGACTGACAGCTCCTTCTCATCTATTTTCTAGCTCAAACTTCACCCACCCATACCACCAGTAATTGGACTTTACTGCATGCGTAATTAATTCAACCCATACATACTCGAATTTATTATTTTTTATAGGCCTGGAATTTATTATTATTAATAATATCATAAACGTTTATGTAATTAATTTAATTCTTGTTTTATGCTTAATTATAGGAGAATTAATCCAGGAAGAAACAGCAGCAGGAGCAATTCAGGTTTTGGGGTTCAGTTAGTTCGCAGAGGAGATCCGCAACGGGTGCGTCTATATATTATTTATTTATTATGCATTCAGTTTCTTTTCCTGTTCTCTATTCTGTTTTTTTTTTTTCTTTCCATGGGACTTTTCCTGCATTATTATTCGCCAAAGTAAACTGAAGAATATGATGCTGAAATGATGAAAGTTTTGCTTGCAGCCCTCTCCTTTATTCACTTTCAACGTAAAAAATTTGACGTTTGAGCAATTAGGTGAAAGATTTCCGACATAACAACTTGACCTCGGCCGGCTTACCAGAAAGATTATTAATGAATTAAGGTACCGGGAATTAAGAAATTCCTTTCTACACACCAAAGAATTCATACATAAAATGATATTGGACGTAGAAGGAACATCAAGTCACGAATAATTATTATACAAAACCCCATCTCATTAGTATATAAAAGTTTTGGTTTAGAGTTTAATATGGATTAAATATTTTTTTTTAAATTCTTTCAAACTTTAGGGGCAATTTCATTTGGCCCAAAAAAAATTCACCCCTTCAATGGGTTATGGGTGATCAATTCCCTATCACTGCGTCAATTTTTGACCAATTCTTCAACACCCGGCAGAGATCAACAAATTCACGGACGTCGGCTGATCACCCTTTTTTCCGATTACTTGTATTCTAGCGATATGTTTTCTATTTCCTAACTCTTTCAATTCACAATTTTGTGAGTTTTTTCCGACTATTCAATTAGAGACTGGTTATCACACGTATTTCGATCACGTGAATTTCTTCTATGATTTTTTTCATTTTTGACTTTTTATTTTTTGACAATCTTTATGAATTTTTCAACTATTCAACTAGAGAATTGTTGATCACGCATATTTTATGACACATATTCCGGTGTTACGTTTTGCATTTCCGAATCCTCGTCGACTGACAGTGTTTATGGTTTTTCGAACCATTCAAATAAATATTTTATTTTTGCATAGAGTCCAATATTGGCCATCAAATCCAATTTACTCTCATAACTTAGAAGTACAATATTTAAATGGGAGTATGACTTTAATAGTTTCAATATGGTCTTATATGTGAATGAACATACTCTTTCTTGAACTAATCGCATGCGTATATTACTTCATTTATTCACACGATTGAAAAATTAATCATCGTGAGGCTCAAACACTTCACCATCGTGAAATTCATCCCGAAATCACAGTCAACACCACTTTATAAAAGAAATGCTACAAATTTTTTTTTTTTTTTTTTGTGAAAACAGGTAACCATCGATAATGGGATAGTTGCAGTAACATTTTCCAGTCCAGACGGCGACGTGATTGGGATCAAATACAAAGGCATTGATAATGTCCTCGAAACCCTTAATGACGACGATAATCGAGGGTAATCTTCTTCAACTTCTAGTTTCCCAGCCTCTCTCTTGCAATTTCCTTCTGGTGTTGGTACATTTTTTTGTAAGCCTGGGAGTCGTGCAGGTACTGGGATGTCGTGTGGAGCAAGCCTGGAGATCAGCGTGGTCCATTTGACAAGTAAGTAGACACAAGTTCATCCCCAACAACAGATTGTTTTGGTTCACTTTCGGGATGAAACGTGCTCTAACTATATATGTGCGGGGTAATCAGATTGCGAGCCACAGATTTCAGGGTGGTAATGCAAGATGACGAACAAATTGAAGTCTCATTCACCAAGAAATGGGAGCCTTCCGACGCCACTGTTCCGCTCAATATCGACAAAAGGTGCTGTGGATACATTAGCAATTCCTCGTCGTGTGTTCAGAATCCCCAATACCATAGTAGTACTTATGGGAAATCGAGGTGTGCTGTGTTTTACAGGTACATATTGCGAAGGGGAAGCTCTGGGATTTACATGTACGCAGTTCTGGAACGCCTGGAAGGATGGCCGGATGTTGACATGGACCAAATCAGAGTGGTCTTCAAGCTCCAGCAAAAGCTGTATGTAGTCATCTTGATTCTTTCTCTGTATTTTTACTTTTATCAAGATTGAAGCAGTAGAAATTGGACGAGACTGAAAGTGGTTTTGCAGGTTTCATTTCATGGCGATATCAGATGACAGGCAAAGGGTGATGCCACTGGCAAAGGATCGTATCACTGGCCGCCCTCTGGCCTACCCTGAAGCTGTTCTCTTGACCCATCCCAGCAATCCTGAGTTTAGAGGCGAGGTAATAGCAAAATAAATTTGTTGTCTTCCCTCTGAGTTCTTGTGTCGAGTTCTTGACATCACGCAATGGAGGGTTTGTTTCCTTGAAGCTGCACTAAGTAATGTTGCTGTAGGTTAGGTGTTCGATAAAATGTCTCAAAGAAACACATCACTTATTTTCCTCATTTTTGTGGCTAGAGAAGCAAAACTTAAATAACATACCCACGAATCTTTTCTTTTAAATGTTTTTGGGTTCTATTCTTATGGTTCAGTTCATATTGCCTGATATAATGAGGTGTGTTAGGTGGATGACAAGTACCAGTACTCGTGTGAGGACAAGGACAACAAGGTTCATGGATGGATATCAGAGGAACCTGCAGTGGGATTCTGGATGATCACCCCCAGTGACGAGTTTCGTGTTGGAGGGCCAATCAAACAAGATCTTACCTCGCATGTTGGCCCGATCGTTCTCAATGTATTAATTCATCTATGCTTTGAAACTAGCTCGCCATCGCTTGGATTTCCTACAGATTTTTGAAACCTCCTAATTTCCTCATCACTCATAACTCAGCAAAAACTAAGATCCTTGAATTGATTACTTGTAATCTGGATTGCAGATGTTCACTAGTACGCATTATACTGGGAAGGACTTGAACACTGCATATAGAAATGGGGAGCCTTGGAAAAAGGTTCTTGGACCTGTTTTTGTTTACCTGAATTCAGGAGATACTTCAACACTTTGGCGAGATGCTAAAGAACAGGTAACTCTTGGACACTATTCAAAATGATGACCCTTCTTCTCCTTGCTCCTTTATTCAACGCATGGATCATTATTCAATTGCTCATTATTAGATGCACACTGAGGTAAAGAGCTGGCCATATGAATTTGTTAACTCAGAAGATTACCCAGCAGCGCATCAACGAGGAAGCGTCGTTGGCCAATTAATACTCAGGGACAGGTAAAGTCTGCATGTGAATTATTAACAGATAGTGTTTCAGTTTTGTACAAAATGAATCATTCTGAACTGCTTCACCTCGTCATCAGGTATATCAACGAGAGGTTGATGTATGCGGGGTCTGCATATGTTGGGCTAGCCATTCCTGGAGATGTAGGATCATGGCAAAGAGATGCCAAGGTTAAGCACCACCAGTAGATACATGCAAGTTCTCTCCTTGATCAGACACAATCAGGAAACTTACCTTTACATGGGTTTTCGCAGGGTTATCAGTTCTGGACTCAAGCAGACAGGAAAGGTAGGTTCTTTATAGACAACATCAGAGTTGGGACTTACAATCTGTATGCTTGGGTTCCTGGAATAATGGGGGACTATAAGTACAGTGTTAACATTACTATTCAGCCAGGTAAAGTAAGCCCCAGACATGGAAAATCCTTCTCCTTCTTAAAAATCTTCCTAACATCTCGTGTGGAATTCTAATAGATCAATAATTATGTAATGTAGGATCGAAGATGGACTTGGGTATGCTTGTGTATGATCCACCAAGGAATGGCCCAACTCTGTGGGAAATAGGCATTCCTGACAGAACAGCTGCAGAATTCCATGTTCCAGAGGCATACCCTACACTAATGAATAAATTGTACACCAATCACCCAACTGACAGGTTAGTCCAATCTTCAAACCTTTCGACGCCGTTTAATACTATGTTACAATCATTGCCTATAAGAAGTCTCTTATTTTTCACATTCTATGACTAATGTTTCTCGTTTACTTCTGCTAATAGCTTCAGGCAATATGGATTGTGGTCACGATACACTGATACATATCCCAGGCAAGATCTAGTTTATGATGTTGGTGTCAGCAACTTTTTTGAAGATTGGTTCTTCGCTCATGTTGTAAGGTAGAAGTTATCGTACTCCACCTTCATCCATGACTGCTTGTTGTCATAGTTTCTTTCTACCAGCTCATTCTGAACGTTTGATGCTTCTTCTATCTGCAGAAGCGCAGGGAACAACACTTTTCGGGCAACCACTTGGAGGATTAACTTTGATCTACCGACCGTGGACAAAAGCAAAGGAGATTACACATTTCAATTGGCCTTGGCTTCAGCAGCTGAAGCAGAGCTACATGTACAGTTCCCATGTGCCTAACTTTTCCTGTCAAACCATTAACTAGTCTAGTAGCCTTTTTTTATTGATCTCGTTTCTTCTGCATTTTGATTCGAGAAACAGGTTCGATTCAATGACCTAAATGCACCAGAACCTTTGTTCTCGACGGGGCTAATAGGAAAGGACAATGCCATTGCCAGACATGGAATCCATGGATTATACTGGTTGTACAGCATCAGTGTACCCAACAACCAACTTGTTGATGGGAGGAACTCAATTTATCTCACTCAAACAAGAACTCATGGCGCCTTTTACGGTGTTATGTATGATTACATTCGATTGGAAGGACCAAGAGGAACTTAGTTTACTCTGCAGAATAGACTTCTATTTGCTCATAGTCTCGGATTAAAGTTAGTATTTAGTTACCACTTACCACTTACCTGTTACTATATGTTTACATATTAGTTATAGAATGAAAGGAGGTTTATTGATTGAACTACCTCTCCGAAAATCATTGGTCCACTAGTGCATGCCGCTAGTGATTCTGCAACTTGATTTGCCTGTCGTAAAAATGTGTTACAAATAGAGGTGGCAATTGGATCGGATTCGTGGATTGGATTGGTGGATCAATGGATCAAATGGATTGGTGGGTTGATCCATGAATCCAAATGGCATCCAAGGCTTGGACCAAAATGTAAATTTTGAAAAGGTTAGGTACTAAAATGTCACGATGAAAATTTTTAGGTACCAAAATGTAATTTTCCAATATTATTATTCGTATAAAAATATAAATTTTAGGTACCAAAATATAAAGTATAAAAAATATAGGTACCAAATTGTAATTTGCCATTTGGATCCATGGATTGATCCATGAATCCACCAATCCAATTGGATTTGGATAAAATGGATTGGATTAGGTGGATAATTTAGTGAATGAATTGGATTGGATTCATGAATTTGGATCCTAATTGCCACCTCTAGTTACAAATAACATTTCTAGCTCAACAAGTAGTGGCAGTTGAAAAGGCAAGTCGTATAGTAGTCACAACCGTCGATAGGATGATTTATGGCCATAAATACCACTACTTGTTTCTCCCCAAATGAGTGTATCTTTAAAATTTGATGCAAAGAGATAATTGAAATTGAGGAATGATTGAATGGATATGATGAGGTAGATAGATAAACCTTATTAAAATTTAAAACTCTCCCGGAAATAAATGAACTAGCCACTGATTCTATGTAAAATAGGGGTCGCATTTACCTGCTAGGTAACTATGATCATATATCATCAGGGTCTTGCAACTCGCGCTACTCAGTCGGCAGGAAATTTCTCTAACTAATCATCTAATGTGAATCTCTCATTTGGAGATGGTGTATAAATACACGCAGTCGAGCCTATTTATGCTTGTCCCGGGCATAGGTTGCTGCTAGAAATGTATTGCATTCGATGTCCAATCCATCATAAGGGCTTCTTTGTTGCAATCCATCCAATATGAACACAGATACAATATTATTCCAAATGGGGTTGGATCCGATCCATAAGCCTCATTGTTTAAGAAGTTTCTTAGACCATTTTATTGGCTGATACTAAATTATGTAGTTAATGAGGGGTTAGTAATTAATAGTTAGTTGGAATAAATAAGATATTATAATATTACTCATTAATGATTCTCTTCCTCTCTCCCCCTTGATCTTCTCCATAACCCTCTCTCTCCACTACAATTAAAAGGAAATCGAAATTAATTTAATTAAATATTATTATTTAATATTTAATAAATTCGAACTTAATATTTTTTATTTTTTAAATTGAAAATTGAAAATATATACTCTCTCATTTCGTGGCAACTTGCAATACAGTATTAACATTTTGCAATGACATTATCAACATTTATGAAATGAATCGTTATTATTATACCTCATCATTATTAATTAACGACTTCAGTATACTTATCAACTCCTTACAATTACATTATAAATTTTTTGGATCAATTGTTACTGTTTTATAGTTTCGTCAGCAACGCCAATGAATGAATCATTGAAGTTATGTAACATGGTCATTAATAATTTGAATAACAATATCATTGATTTACAACATCTTTAGTACTAATGATTAACATTTTCACATCATGTTTATAACTATCTAGTCATGGCCTCTTCCAATGATTTCTAATGACATTATTAACGTTTTATGATCAATTAATATTGCTTTACATTATCATTCTCAATGATCGTAAAGCACAATACTGATTTTCAACATCTTGGGTACTTGTGACATAGTGCACCTGTGTGATTCAGTCAAACAAACATTGTCCAGAAAAATATTAGCTCAAGCAAACCAAAATTCACGCCTCAACACTAAACTTTTAATAACAATACAATAAATCATTGATAACGAAAAATATTTTGTTGAAAATAAACACAAAACATCAATGTAAAAATGTCCGACCTCAACATTATAAATGACATCAACCTTTAAAAATATAGATATTAAAAACCATTAATATCGAATGACCAAGTCACTGATAAGGAAATAGATTTTTATAATAAAAATACTATTAATAATATTCAGATGCAATATTTAATGTCAAATAGCACTAAAAACGCATTAATAAGTAACATGTGTTTAATGGATAATACATTCAAAAACTTTGATAATGATAGCAACAAGTGATTGTTAAGTACCTCATTAGATATTATTAATATCTTATTTTTCAAACATTGATAATGTTTATACACACCTATTAATAATGACACCAACTATGTTACTAACTTAGACTGAAAGATTAATAACCATAGTTATATCATTAAACGTAAATTCACTTTTGCTGATGTCATAAACAAACGAATTCCTAACAAGTATGCTTCTTGATAATGACATTTGACAAAGTTACAAACATAAACGAAAAGATATTAATAATCCAAATCACTAAACATAAGCAATCTTACAAATGAAATAAATTTTTGCTAATGGTTGTATTGTGTTTGAAAAAAACATTGATAATAGCACTTCAAATGATTATAAATCATTGCGAACCAAATTGATAATACGATGTAATAGTAAATAAACTTCAAGTACTAACAAATTGAAAACACAATTTTCACTTTTGCTAATGTTACAAACAAAACATAAAAAGTTAATAATGTCATATAAAATTATTAAAAAACATGTCGAACAACATTAATAATAACACAAACGAAAACCTAACAACGAAAAATCTCAAACCCATGCAACGAAAAGCCCTAATGATGATTCAATTTATAAATATTGATAATGTCATTACAAAATGTTAATACTTAATACTAATCGAAAGTTTCCAAGATGTGAGAGAGACATATATTTTAAATTTCAAATTTCTGTTTTAGAAAAAGATCATTATTAAATTCGGATTTTAGTAAATATTAAATAAAATTAATTTCATATTTCTTTTAATTATAATGTAGAGAGAGGGTTATGGAGAAAATCATGGGAGGAGAGAGAAAGAGAATCATTAATTAATTATATTAATTATATTTGCATACCCATTTACCCTTAAATACTTATTAACTACTAACCTCATTAACTACTTAATTCACTATCAGCCAATAGAAAGACTTTAAGATTCTCCTTAAAAAATGAGATTTAAGAACTTGAACTCAAGCCAGCGAACAGAGTTGTCGATCGAGCAGCTCCCTCTGCTGTTTCGCGAACAAAGCAGAAGAAAGAGAGGAAGAAAGGTGCTCAGGGGAGGAGGGAGTCAACGCCAAGGAAGACTACCCCAATCCGCCACGGTCCGATGAAGGCTCTAAAGCTTTGGTCTCCCGTCAAAGATCGAAAGAACAAGGGCCAGGAGAAACGAATTTCTTTGACGCTGCAACAGATTAAAGAGTGGACAGAGATGAGCCCGGAAAGTAGAGCCGGCGAGGCTCTTCGGGAGCCCCCTCTTCCGGCAGACGAGCTCGGACCAGGATTGATCGATGGACGTGGCCCGCCGGCCTAATTTCTGATCTCTTGCTTCCTTGTGGCCTTCTCCCTTCCCCTTTTTTCTGCTCGTTTTTTTGTCTCTTATGTCTATGTCTGTTGTTTCTAATTTTAAAATTTTTGCGTGGAATGTTGGTGGAGCTGGTGGACGGGCCTTCTCTCGTTCTCTCAAGTTCGTCCTTCAGCTCCATAAGCCTGACATAGTGATTCTGATTGAACCTCAGGTTAGTGGTGGGGTGGCGAATGCTGTCTGTGACAAGTTGGGTTTCCAGGATGTTGCTAGAGTTGAGGCCAATGGCAGGAGCGGTGGAATCTGGGTGTTTTGGAACTCGCAGGCCCTTTCTATGCAAGTTGAGTCTGCTGGTCATCAACACATCACTTTGATCTGCAGCAGGGATGGAATGCCGACTTGGAAGCTCACGGCTATATATGCTTCTCCGCAGCAGCAGCTCCAACACTCTCTTTGGGGTCATTTGATTGACCAGAGCACGAAAACAAAGTGCCCTTGGATCCTTACTGGGGATTTCAATGCTATCCGCGACCCGGACGAGAGGACTGGTTCTGCTTCCTCTTCTACCTACAGTAGATGCAAGCGTTTTGGGGACTGGATCAATGAGGCAGAGCTTCTTGACTTGGGCTTCTCTGGCCCCAGATTTACCTGGTCCAGGGGGGATACCACTGCCTCCTACAAGGCCAGTCGTCTGGATAGAAGCCTATGCAACTTGGAGTGGAATGAGATGTTCCCAACGACTTCGGTGACGCATCTTGCTCGCCTCAGCTCGGACCATCACCCCATCCTTACCACTTGGCCAATTCAGGGAGTCTCGCATCTTTCTCCTAAGCGTTTCAGATTTGAGGCAGCCTGGTTAACCCATGCTGATTTTTCCTCTTTTATTGAAAATTCTTGGGAGTCTCAGGTTGCTTTTCCCGATGCTTTGCAGGCTTTATCGGACAAGCTGAAGGGATGGAACATGGCTGTTTTTGGTAACATCTTTCAGAGAAAGAAGAGGCTGGTTGCTCGGATTTCTGGAATTGAGCGGAGGCAAGCTGTCTCTTTCTCCCCAAGCTTAGCAAAACTACACTCAAAGCTTGAGGCTGAGCTGGACAAGACCCTGGAGCAGGAAGAGCTTATATGGTTTCAAAGGTCTCGGGAGAATTGGGTGAAGTTCGGTGAAAGGAACACAGCCTATTTTCATCAGCTGACTAATATCCGCAGACGCAGGAGTAAGATTACAGCTCTGAAGGACGGGAATGGGACATGGGTCACGAACACAGAGGATTTGGCGGGTCTTATTTTCAATTTCTACTCTGAGCTCTACTTGCAGGATGACACACCCTATATTGATCTGCTTCCGAAGGGTGATTTCCCCAGACTCAGGCAGGAAGAATGGTTTCAACTCCTCAGACCTTTCACTATAATGGATATTCACAAGGCGGTTTTTGACATGAAACCTTTCCAAGCTCCTGGTCCGGATGGCTTCCAAGCCATTTTCTACCAACAAGCTTGGAAGGTTGTCGGGAAAGATTTGTCAGAGATGGCGATCTCTTTTTTTGAACATGGAACCCTTCCTCCTGCTGTTTCGGAGTCCACGGTTGTTCTTATTCCTAAGGTGGAAGACCCTGAGTCAGTCACGCAGCTTCGCCCCATCTCTGTGAACAATGTCAGCCTGAAAGCCATAACGAAAGCGATGACGAGCCGGCTGAAGTCTGTTATGAGAACTCTTGTGTCACCTCGGCAATCCAGCTTTATCCCAGGGCGTCAGACGATGGACAATATAGTGGTGGTTCAGGAGGATGTCCATTCGCTGAGAAAGAGGAGGGGACGAAAGGGTGGTATGGTGGTGAAAATCGATCTGGAGAAGGCCTATGATCGGCTTCGGTGGGACTTTTTGAGGGACACCCTAATTGAAGTTGGCCTCCCGAGTTCTTGGATCAGATGTATTATGTACTGTGTCGAACAGAACAGAATGCGCATTCTCTGGAATGGGGAGCTGCTAGAGACCATAACCCCCACTCGTGGAGTTCGCCAGGGAGACCCTCTTTCTCCCTACCTGTTTGTGTTATGTATGGAGCGCCTTTCCCATAGAATTGATAAGGCTGTTCGTGATAAGCTATGGAATCCCATTCGCTTATCAACGAATGGCCCGGCTCTAACTCATCTTTTCTTTGCCGATGACTTGGTTTTGTTTGCAGAAGCTAAAGTCTCTCAGGTGAAGATTATAAAGCGGTGTCTTGATGAGTTCTGTGAAAGCTCCGGGCAGCGAGTGAACTTTGCGAAGTCCATCATCTACGTTTCCCCCAATATACACCATGCCAGAGCTCAACGCCTAAGTACCAGGGCTGGTATTCCCCTTGCCACCAGCCTAGGGAAATATTTGGGTATTCAGACGATCCATGGTCGAGTTACCAGGGGGCGGTATCAAGGTCTCTTGCTGCAAATTAAGAAGAAGCTGGCGCCGTGGAAAGCCAGGAAGCTGTCGCTCGCTGCGCGCCTGACTGTTGCCAGATCAGTTTCCCTGTCCATCCCTGTTTATCCTATGCAGACTGAACTTTTGCCTGTGAATGTTTGCAATGCTATTGATAAAATTAACAGGGACTTTATCTGGGGAAAAGAGGAGGAGAAAGGGAAGATCCATCTGGTGGCGTGGGATAGAATGGCTGAACCCAGAGCTCAGGGAGGAGGGGGGCTGAGGTCCGTCCGCCATGCAAACCTGGCTATGCTCGCTAAAGGAGGGTGGAGGATTCTTAAAGAGAAGGACTGCATTTGGACTCAAGTCATGAGATCGAAGTACGGGAAGCAGCGGGAAGGACTTGATGTGCTTCGGCCTGTTAAGGGAGGTTCCTTTACCTGGAATAGTATGACTAAAGCCTCAAACCTTCTTCGGAAGGGTTGTGCGTGGAATATTCATAATGGGAAAGGAGCTAAGTTCTGGCGTGATGTTTGGTTGCTGCAGGTACCTTTGGCCGAGGTGGCTCTTCATCCGGTAACAGAAGAGATGCTGGAGGAGCATGTGGCGGACTATATTGATGATGATGGTAGATGGGACATCAATCGTTTGGAGGATTGGCTTCCGTCTGAAGTGCTTCAGAAGATCACGGCGAACCTGGTGGATCCCATGTCTCTGGAGGAGGACACTATCCTTTGGACCGCCTCCTCGAATGGCCACTTTTCAACTTCCTCGGCCTACACTCTGGCTTTACCTCCGAGGAAGGATCCGAATGAGAAGGTGTGGAAAGCCATTTGGAAGCTCCCGGTTGCTGAAAGAGTTAGATGCTTCGTGTGGTTGGTATCGCTAGGGCGCATTGCGACTAATGTTCTCCGCTATTCCCGTAAATGTGCGGAGTCCCCGATGTGTCTTAGATGCGGGAACCAAGAAGAGACCATTCTGCACTTGTTTCGAGACTTCTATCCTGCTCGTTTTTTTTGGCTGAGATGGATTCCGCAGGAGGAGCATCAGAATTTTTTCAGCAGCGGTCGGGAAGATTGGTTCAGAGACAATATCCTTAAGGAGGACGGGACGGAGTCTGGTATGAATTGGAACAGCTTCTTTAGTACTGCTTTGTGGCTTATTTGGAAGAACAGGTGTACAGGGTGTTTTCAGGGGCTGCATAAGGCGCTTTCAGCTCCCTCCCTTGCTTTCTCCATTCAGCAAAAGGCTATTTTGTGGCATAAGGCGTGGGAGGCCCCTACGGTAAATTTCGGCAGACAGGGATTCAAGCCGGAGAGGGTGGAGACGCAGGTTCATTGGAGTTTTCCTCGAAATGGATGGGTCAAGCTCAACGTGGATGGGGCTTCGGCGGGCAACCCGGGGCTGGCTGGAGCTGGGGGCATCATTCGGGATGAACATGGTAAGTGGATCCGGGGTTTTGTCTCTAAAGTAGGTGAAGCCTCAGCTACGCTTGCAGAGCTTTGGGCTGTCTACCATGGCCTTCTTCTCGCTAGGAAAGCCGGGTGCACTTGTGTTCTTGTGGAGTCAGACTCTCAGTTGGCGATAGCTTTGATTAAGAGTCGGCACGATCCTGTTCATCCCTATGCCGCCTTGTTGGCCTCGATTCGGAGGAGTCTGGCGCAGGATTGGTTGGTCAGCATCGGGCATGTGTATCGGGAGGGGAATAGAGCCGCGGACTGGCTCTCGAAACACAGTCTCGTCTATCCCCTGGGTATGCATGAACTTGTTGATCCACCGCCGGCGCTAGCTCCTATCCTTATGAGCGATTGTATGGGCATTTCTTTTCAGCGTCGTGTTGTGACGCAACCCGCTTCTTCTCTGTAATCTTCTTTCTTTGCGGCCTCGGCCTCCCTTTTATGCAAAAAAAAAAAAAAAATAGAAAGGAAAAGTCGCCGGGGATGGAGAGTTCAATGGAGGGGAGGCATCAATATCTTTCTTCAATAGAAGAGCACTCACAAAGTTTGAAGGAGAAGAGGGCAAAGTTGGAGGAAGGGGGAAGTCAACCATGAGGGATGATTTTGGCTATATTGAATTTTGAAAACCTGCCATTAAGGTATTTTGAAATCAGGAAAGGATAAGGATCGTGGCAAAATCATGCCCCCAAATTCATATTCCAAGCGACCCTGTTGTATCATAATAGCCTACATTGATCATAAATTTTTTGTTATTATATCCATAATGTACTTATATAGACATTCTCAATTTTCTATTTTTGGAAATTAATACATGATTATATTTTTTTAAATAAGAAAACTGGAATCAATTAATTAAATTGGTCATAAGAATTTCCAATGAATTCGATTTTATCTCCTAATTATGTAAAAACAAAGACAAAAAGTTGTCAAAAAATAAAATTTTGTGTCCTACGTTTTTGAAGATATAAAAAAATTAAAATAAAATAGGCTTGGGTTAGGGTACAAAACCCAGTAGTAATGTAATCCTATAAAACCTAGGGCTGGGCATGCAGGCGGGTTTGGGCCGATCCGCCCGTATTTGACCAAAATTTCGTTATGTGGGTGGGTTTGTGGGTGGGTGACGGGTTGTGTTGTGAGGCATCCGTCGGGTGGCGGGTGGGTTGTGGGCAGGTGTGCGGGTGACCCGCTCAACCCAATAGCAAAAAGAACAAATTCGTTGGCGCTAGAGAGTGGAGACGCTGACGGAAACTAGGGCTACTCCTGGAGATTGAATCTCAAAGCCAATCTTCCAAATCTCAACTTCACTGTTCTTTCCTTTATTTTTTCCTCTAATTCTTGTGCCTAAATCACCTCTCTTTCCTCCGTTGAATTATTTTCTTAGTTTTCTGAACCCGATAATCATTTCCATTCGTAGGAAAGAGGAAGTCAACCATGAGGGATGATTTTGGCCGTAAGGTATTTTGAAATCAGGAAAGGATAGGGATTGTGGCAAAACTATGCCCCCAAATTCCTAATCCAAGCGACCCTGTTGTATCATAATAGCCTACATTTATCATAATTTTTTTTGTTATTATATTCATAATTTTCTTATATAAACATTCTCAATTTTCTATCTTTGGAAACTAATACATGATTATATTTTTTAAATAAGAAAAATGGGATCGATTAATTAAATTAGTCATTAAAATTTCCAATGAATTCGATTTTATCTCCTAATTATGTAAAAACAAAGTAAAAAAAGTTGTCAAAACAATGCGTCCATTACTAAGGCATACTTCCCTTGTAATTTACAAACGTGGATTGCATGGCATGATAACCTTTCATGCTAAACCAAGTGTTGTAGTTGTTCCCTGGAGGGTGTACGAGCAAATCTTTACTAGAAGGAATGGACAAATTGTTCCATGACATATAATTATAAGGAAAGTGTTCTTCATTAAAACCATATTTCCAACTTTAATTTTGCCAACCCAAAAAAACTTAACAACCTTGAGAAATTAGATGGTTTGGCCGGTCGATCCAAACTCAATTCAAAATGCTTTGAATCGGTTTAACCAGCCGACTCAGACCAAATTTCCAGCAAAATACCTGACGTGGAAGAACATGGATAATAGATCTCCACCGCCTTTGCCGATTCAGCAGCCTCCACCGCTCGTGGAAAAAGAAAGTCGTCTCTCTTTTCCTCGGCAGAAAAGGAAGCCTATCTTACTCCGGCTTTTCCCGGATTTGACCATTCTCGGGCTAACTCACAAATAAGTTGTTCTAGACTGTGTTTTCAGGAGCGGGTCTGGGCTAACCCGGGTCAACCCGCGGGTCCGGGCTAACCCGGGACAACCTTGATCTCGGAGATAATGCCGAATCCACGTCATTGTCAATCACCTCAAATCCAGTTTCTTTCTCTCCGCCCGCCTCCGCCTCCGCCTCCGCTCACTCACATCTCATCCTCGGCAGTAGTTTGACCGGCCGCCCGTTACTCCCAGTTGTCTACCTGCTCAGTTCAGCCGATGTTCGTCTTCTTCGTTTGAACTCACCACAATTTATAAATCCGAATCAACAATCCAGCAAATGAGATTCTCTCGTTTGGTCCGCAGCGTGATCGCCAACGCTTCCACCTACCTCTCTCCAAAATCGAACCCCCGCTTCTTCGCCGCCGCCGCCGGTCCCTCCGAAAACTCCTACCATGTCAGCTCCGGTGGATTCATGCGCGGAGCCGTCTTCTGGGATCCTTCGAGACCGCTGACCATTGAAGAGTTCCATATGCCCCGCCCCAAAGCCGGCGAACTCCTCATCAAGACCAAAGGTTGTGACAAGAAATTGATCTTTTTGTTACTCCCACAAGTTTCGTTTTCCCTGTCCCGTTTTTTGACGAGTGATTTCCAATTTCGCCTCCAAAGGCTGTGGAGTTTGCCACTCTGATCTCCATGTATTGAAGGGTGAGCTCGCATTTCCAAGCCCGTGTGCGATTGGCCACGAGATCACCGGCGAAGTGGTCGAGCACGGCCCCATGACCGACTCCAAGATTTCCCACAGGTTACTTGTAACCTTGACCTGGTTTAGGGTTTCCTCCCCAAACCGAAAGTCAAAAGTGGTTGCTCAGTTTGTCCTGGCTAAGTGGCCTGAATTCCTCCTCTTTCTTGCGTTTTTTTTACAGGTTTCCTGTCGGATCTCATGTCATTGGAGCCTTCATCATGCCCTGCGGCAACTGCTTCTACTGTTCAAAGGTTACTCTTTTCTCCCATCCAGTTTAATGGCCGTAGTCATTACCCACATCCAAAGAACTGATGGGTTTGGCCTCATGTTATTGGAAGCAGGGCCACGATGATTTATGTGAGGACTTCTTTGCGTATAACCGTGCTAAAGGAACTCTCTATGACGGTGAAACTCGCCTTTTCCTCCGTAACAGTGGTATCTAGCTACTCTTCCCCTCTCCATTGGCAATCTCGATTACCCACCGTGACACAATTCGGACGGTTCTATTGCTCACCGTCATTTTAACTTCCTTTCCCGTGTTCCTGGATTTCTCAGGGAAGCCAATATTCATGTACAGCATGGGAGGTCTTGCTGAATACTGTGTGGTACCAGCTAATGCATTGACGAATTTACCGGATACATTGCCGTATACCGAGTCTGCCATCTTAGGATGTGCTGTGTTTACTGCTTACGGTGCTATGGCGCATGCTGCTGAGGTTCGTCCAGGGGATTCGGTTGCTGTTATTGGAGTTGGAGGTGTTGGCTCAAGGTAAACAGCTGTACCCTCATGTTCATTTGAGTCATACTCCAATGCCGATTTTGTAGTTCCTTGTACAAGTTCAGCAAACACCTAGTATAGGAATAACTAGTTATAAAGCGGAGGGCTAAGGACTTGATATCTTGTATCGCTATCTCGTGATCCCTGGATGTAGGGAAATTGGTGTTGTTCTTCTTTAGATAAACTGAGGCAGTCACACACTCAAAACTTGAGACCGATGGTGGAAAAATTATAACCGTGGTAGTTCTCCAGTTGTTTGCAGATAGCAAGGGCATTTGGGGCCTCTGATATCATTGCTGTTGACGTTCAGGATGATAAGTTGGAGAAGGCTAAGGTTTTTGGTGCCACACATACTGTGAATGCGATGAAGGAGGACCCGGTTGAAAAGATCAGAGTATGTGCTATATCTATTTTCAACTTCTGAATTAAACCTTTATCCTGTTTCACTGGTCCAACTTGAGCTCTGATTATTTGTTATTATGTTTCTGTGTGATGATTCTTTCATGATTTGCCCACAAGTCATCTATGCCAAATCTGAGTCTGAGCTGAGGATGCTCCATGAAATACCTGCCCTCCATCTTAACTTAATAGATTATGATTTACGAGTCGGAATGGAAATGCTCTGGATTGAGTGGATCCTTTCTTACATGAGACCTGGAAAAATGTTCTGAGTGGACTTTCAGGCTTTAATGCCTTGTTTTTTCTGTCATCAATCAGATCTTGGAGTACTGATATCATATTCTGTGATAGGAAATAACCGGAGGAAGAGGTGTGGATGTTGCAGTGGAAGCATTGGGCAAACCGCTCACTTTTTCACAGTGCACCAGAAGTGTAAGAGATGGAGGGAAAGCTGTGATGATTGGGCTTGCAAAAGCTGGCTCAGTGGGGGAGATGGACATCAATCATCTAGTTCGTCGAAAGGTATGCAAAAAGTACTCTGCATATTGCTTACATAGAGTTTTCTTTCCTGGAATCAAATCTAGCAAAGTAACAAAAACCATTTTCAATGATCCTAAAATCTACGTTTGGTAATCATATGAGCGATAGCCCTTTTCTAGACAGTCATGTTAGATATAAGCTTAGGCCCTGTTTACTTTCATTTCTGTTTCCTGTTTTTGAGAAAACAGATGTTGAAAACAGGTGAAAACAACATTTCGTCGTTTCCGAAAACATCAGGAAGTTGCCACTTTCTGTTTTCATAGTTGGAAACGAATAGAAAACAGAATGAAAAATAAACAAGTTTTCTCGTTTCGGTTGCCAAATTTATGACATGAAAACAGAAAACAGGAAACGAAAATAGAAGTAAACAGGGCCTTAAGGTTGCATGGAAAGAGTTAAGAGAGAACATGGAAAGCAAAAAAATCTTGCTGTCTTACCTAAGCAACTAACTAACACAACTATTTGTGGAAAAGATCCAAGTGATTGGTTCATATGGAGGAAGGGCAAGGCAAGATCTTCCAAAGCTGGTAAGGCTTGCGGAGTCGGGCATATTCAACCTCACTGATGCGGTTACCCGGAAGTACAACTTTGAGGAGGCAGGCACAGCATTTCAAGATCTTAACGAGGGGAAGATTCTTAGTCGAGCGGTTGTTGAGATCATGTAGAGTCTGGTGCGTCATGTTCGTTTGCCTTGCCAGATTGATTTTCTTCTGGGACACTTCTACTGGTTCTTTGTTCTTCCAGACAAGGACAATGGCTATTTGCCTATTTATAGTATGTAAGGTTTCTGTTGTACCGTGAGTCGATATCGGCCTGATAAGAAAAATAATATCCGAATCCTTTGCGACTGATCTCTTCTGGAGCTTTTTCCACTGTTCTAGTACAACATAACGATATGACCTAGACTTGGCCATGATGAACAACAGGCCAGGAGTGAGGACTGCCATGCCAGTCCCTTGAAAATTTGAATTTGATCAATTCATTTTCTTAAGAATCGGACTGGTCCACAGTTATTGAAGAAGTGACATGAACGGTTTTGGCAGTGTCTCATTCGGTGCGGGTATCCGACCACCTCCGACCCAATCAATGTGGAAAATACTTGCATTGACTATGTATGGGACGAGTATGGGTAAAACCTGCAAAACGTTTTATGGTTATGGGACATGTATGATTTTAGCCTCCCCTCTCCATATCCATACCCGCCCCACCAAGAGCATTTCTTCAAATATAAAAAAATACATGGATCAAATTGTAAGTTATCAATGATAATGAGGGTAACTCAAGAAAATAATTAGTAGAAATGCAAAACCTAATTCATTTTCCTCAACTCTCTCTTCACTCTTTAACTTTTTCCCTAGTGTTAACAACATTATGTTAGTTAGTTATTACTTAGTAGATGTATGAGAGTTAGCGAATAATGATTAGGACATTGTACTCTATATTATGGTAATGGATGTTTTAGGATAAGATGCTTTGAACTGTATTGAGAATGATTGTCTCTTTGTTGACCTCATAATATAGGGAAAAAATCCCAAAGTACACACGTTCTTAAAAAAAATTCCCAAAATACATAAGTTATAAAAAAATTTCCAAAACTACACATGTTTGGGCATCACCGTTTTTGACAAAGGCGGTGAAGACTATCACCGCGTTTAAAAAAAAACGGTGAACATTTCACCGTTTTTATTAAACGCGGTGAAGGAGCTGACGTGGACAAACGCGGGGTATTCACCGCGTTAGACAAACACGGTGAATACCCCGTGTTTGTTTACGTCAGCGATCCGGGCCATTGTGCTTTCACCGTGGCCGTTGGATGCGGTGAGGCGCGGATCGTGGTTTTCTTCCCACGATCCGACGCCTCACAACACGCCACGTCCCCTAGAAATTGACCGCGTTTGTTTACAGCGATGAGTTCACCGCGTTTGACTAACGCGGTGAAGGCGCTCCAATTGAATGCTGCGCAGGCGCCTCCCCCCTTCCCCCAACTATAAATACCCCCTTCCCCTTTCACTTTCAACTCACCCCACAAACATTTCACTTTTTTCTCCCTCAATTTATCCGCTCTAGTCTCGTTCTAAGTATGCTCTGTGGTTGCGGCTAAGTCCGATCTTCCACATCAGAAAGAATTACTAGAGTTTGACCCTAAAGCCCCCGTCCCGCTAAGTTCCCGTCCCTTACACCTAAACTCGTCGAACCTCTGTCCGGCCTACGCCAAAAAATGGACGAAGAGGCTCTTCGTGTAGGTTTTTTGTTTATGAATTTTTTTTAATCGAAACAATCTGATTTTTTGTTTTTTTTATCAAAACAATCTCTGATTTCATTACTTTTTTATAGATGGGTGCCGAGATATACGATCCTCGATTGTATATCCATTATGGCCCAAGGGATGCGAGTCTCTTAACCGATCAAGAAGCTCATCGCTCCCGTGCTATTTGGGATAACAATCCGGTAATTTTTTGAGTATTCTTGCTTTATTTTATTATTTTCTAAGGTTTTATTTTGCTATATTTAATCTAATAAATTGTTGTTTTCCCTATTTTTTTTAGGAATCGCTTGTTCCCAAGGTTGGAGCCCTATATAGCGAGGACAGGTTTGGGAATGTTGCGCCATTTCTTGCGGATCGAAATCGACAACGATCTGCTTACGGCAATGGCGGAACGATGGCGTCCCGAAACCCATACGTTCCACCTTCCGGAGGGGAAATGACGATCACCCTCAAAGACGTGGCGATCCTCACCGGGATGCCTATTTCTGGGGATGCCGTCATTGGTCCCCAGACCAAACCCGACGTAGGTTGGGGGCCGCTCATACGTGATCGTTTGGGCTTTGACATGCCGACCACCACTCCAATCCAAGGGCGGGGGCATCCACCGTTGAATGCGGGCCAAGTGTCGGTCCCGTGGCTGGTGTCTCACATCCAGCAAGAGGTTGTAATCAATGACGAGACACCGGAAGAACAAGTCGAGCGCTACGCCCGCATCTACCTCATCGGTTTGGTGGGTGGATTTTTGTTCCCCGACAAGTCCAACCGGTGGATTCAAGGCATATGGTTGGAGTTGCTCACGGGTGATTGGGATGCAATCTGGCAAAAGAGTTGGGGATCGGCCGTGCTAGCGGGCGTATACCGGGAGCTGTGTACTTGCTCGAAGGTTGGGGCAAAGCAAGCTGGTGCTGCGATGTTCATCCTACAACTGTGGGTATGGGAGCATCTTCCAATGTTCGCACCTCTCGACCCACGTCCATACCGGAGAAACGATGATGAGCTCAACTTTCTGCAAAATCTCCCATACGGTGTCAAGTAAGTTTATTTCGTACTTAGCTCAATTTAAATTTTATTACATGCTTGAGCTAGAAATAAATTGAATTTATCCCGTACTTAGCCCAATTTAAATTTTATTACATTAGCTAGATTTAATTTGAATTTATTCTGTACTTAGCCCAATTTAATTTTGATTACATGCTTAGCTAGATTTAAATTGAATTTATTCCGTACTTAGACCAATTTAATTTATTATATGCTTAGCTATATTTCAATTAAATTGATTCCGTACTTTTACTTACAAGGTGGATAGGAGCAAATACGAATGACCATCAACCTGAGCATTCGTTACTGTTTTATCGTTCTGAGTTAGATAAACCATGGTGGAATCAGGTAATCATGTTTTGTCCATATTTGAACAAGTTAAATTTTTTCAAAGTAAATGGTCGTTAATTCCGATTTTTTGAATGGATATAGGTTATATGGGATCCATATCCACGTGAAGTGGTTGAGCTGCATCATCTTAGGCACCCTCTGGATCACGACACATGGTTGTGCAAGGTGCCATTAATCTGCTGGCACATGGTGGAATGGCACCTACCCGATCGATCCCTGAGGCAATATCGAATGGAGCAGCCAATTCCACAAGACCCGCCAGCAGGTTTCAGGGAGCTACATGCTATCGACCTCCGACATTCGTCAAAGAACTGGCAGCGAAAGCATGGATTCTACATCAACATCTGGGAGAATCGACACCAATGGGTGGTGCAAGGGATGCCGGAGATCATTCTGACTATGTAAAAATTGAGTTGGAACCTGTGTGTAATATGGCGTGGGTGCCTCACGAAATGCCGCCTCATCCTCGTTATCATCAGTATCTTCCTCCTCCTCGCTCACTGATCTCAAATCTTCCTCAGTATCCTCGTCGCTCGACTCGAATGGATAGCTCGGGCTAGAAGGATCAACATGACCACGATCACCAACATCGTCCTCTCGCTCATGTGAAGTACGCCCTGATCGAATGGTATTCTCGATTCCATACCACTCTGGCCCCCAAGCAGGCCATTGAACACCATCGGCCTCAACAAATGGGGCTGGTTTAGGAGGTTGCGAGTATTTGTCCCATCCTGCACTACTCGATCCACCGTAGTTGATTGAACCACCACCCTCCCCGTAACCTCCTGTATAACCACCGCCTTGGTAGTTGCTCGAACTACCACCCCATTCGTACCCTCCTGCAAAACCATCATCATAAGAATACTGGTGAGAATGAGATTCACCGACCGCCTCGGTCTCAACATACACCTCTGCAAGCCGGACTTGGTTATCGCTTAGGAACTGTAACATCATCGTAACCGCGTCATCATCGTTTATGACAACTTCTTGGAACACGACCCTGCCAGCACTCATGTCTGGATACCGGTAAGTAATTTTGCCAAGTCTCGTCTGTCCGCTCGTACAAACCCTTTCTGCACAAAGATCACAGAGTTCTTGAAAATTGAATCGGGAATCAATTTTCAGCATAATGGATTCGCCGTCCTCATAATCAATGCCTATGTCAGAGTTTGTCACCCTTCCATTCCACCGAATAGTAAGATGAAACTTCTTGAATTTACCCATATCTACAAATCAAGGATAAGTATCTATTAGCTTAAAGACAGTAAAATTAACCAAAATCATATTGTACAACTAATATTATCCATCTCATAACTAACGAACATAAATTCAACTAACTAACAACAACATAATACGAAAATTAAATCATACTATAACTAACGAAAATAAATTCAACTAACTAACAACAACATAATACGAAAATTAAATCATACTATAACTAACGAACATAAATTCAACTAACTAACAACAACATAATACGAAAATTTAATCATACTATAACTACTAAAAACATAATTAGACTATAATACGAAAAGTCTCAACATGCCGAAAAATGTCTGTTCTGTGTATTATGCTCGATTTTTGTTGCTGAAATTTGAAGAAGGGGGGAGTGGTTATGTTTTTGCTTCTGCTGGTGGGTTGGTATTTATAGGAAAATCTGCCTATTATTCACCGTTTTTGTCAAAAACGGTGAACACCATCACCGCGTTTGTCTCAAACGGTGAATAATAGGTAGGTGTGACCTAATTTTGACCTACCAGGGGTGGGAAACGTGGGAATATATCACCGCTTTACCCAAAAACGGTGAATGTATTCACCGTTGTCGACCAAAACGGTGATGTATTCACCGTCTTCACCAAATGCGGTGAATACATCACCGTTTTAGATAAAGGCGGTGAATACGTCACCGTTTTGGTTTTAAACGGTGAAATATTCACCGTCTTTGTCAAACGCGGTGATTACCTTCACTGCGTTTGTCAAAAACGGTGAATGCCAAACATGTGTACTTTGGGAAATTATTTTATAACTTATGTATTTTGGGAATTTTTTTTAAGAACGTGTGTACAGTGAGATTTTTTCCATAATATAGTAGGTGCATTTAATGTTATAATTGAAAATTTTATGCATTATAATGTTGGATGTATGAGGTGAGTATTACTCATGAGTACTCGAAACCCACGGGTATGGGGATTGGTATGCAAAACCTTCCCCGTATGGATATGAGGCAAATATGGATTTGGATATTTGAAAGCGGAGATAGAGATGGTTTAGACAAACCCGCCCCAAACCCGCCCATTTGCCATCCCTAGCACCTTCAGTGTGACGGAAAATAGTGTATGCGCACACTAGATAATCTTTAGTATAAAATTCGATCAAGGCTTGGGGAGCTACAGATTTTGGAAGGCGAATAGAAGGGAAAGTGAAATGAATGAACGAGGAAGACAAAGTGAAGAAAACAGAGACTCGAGTCTCTTTTCATCTGCCGACCATTTTACTCTTTCTATTTACACCATAAAATTTTTCTTATACCATATTAGTGAGTTACAAGATAATCAATGAATTTATAAGGCCACAATACTTATAACAATTATTTTTGTTTAAGTTGGGCCTTATAGATATTGATTTTAACCCCAACCCACTAAGTCATTAATGAGCATGAACATGATTCAATAAGGGACATCAGCCTCTTGTAGGAGGTCATGTCGTGCCACGAGATTGCATAAAAATATTATAATTCTTTACATGAGCTTCAATGATAACTGAAGTGTATGGATTATTATCTTGTTAATACATACTTGATAAGCTATATGATTATCTAATAGAAAAAGCCACGCAGTGTGGGGTTATCCCCTATTTTATATTCTAACTTGATTTCTTTTGAGCAGGAAAATGAATCGATTTCCCAAATGGATGAGCAGACACAAGAAGAAAGGATATGATGGTGCTTCTTCACGAGGACCAAGGGATCCTAGTCCACCATGAGCTCAGCCAGAGCATGTAGCTCCCCGACGGTCTGCACAACTCAACTGGAGGGAGCCAGTGATCGTGATAGAGAAGGATGAGAGTTCGAGGAAGTTGGGTTATCAATTGTGATTCATTCAACAATCCGACAACAACAATAGTGGAAGGCTATCAATGGATAGCGAGAGATCGAGCAACAAGAGTGGACAGCTGCCACCATATGCTAAGGTGTGGGAGACTAATAACGAGAAGGAGATACGAGAAGGCACACCGGAGGCACCCCTGCACCCTTAATTTCCTCCAGTTCCCCATTGCTAATTCTAGTTCCAAGAAGGTGCAGAGATGGAGAGACATATCGGTGGACCACTAAGGAGAGCTGAACTAGTCGAATTTTGACAAGTATCAGGGATGGGGAGCACAATTGAGGTAGAGCCTAGGATGTGTTTTTTATATTCTTTGATGCCTTCTAGGTATGTTTTGTTAATTTTGAAAGTACAAAGCAACCTAAGGAAATTTGGATCAAGCATTGGATAAATCTAGAAGACCAAAGGAGCTATAAAAAGAAGAATATGTAGCTTTTGTGAGAAAGATGAGCTCCGTGATGGAGAAGTCAACTAGAAGTCGTTTAATAATCTAAAGACAAGCCCATAGGAAGTAGACCCGGCCCAAGCTGATGAAGAAACCATGACGACCTAGCATCGGGTCCAACCACCATTGGAGGAAGCTTGGTCAAGAGGTGTCCAAACTACAACGAAGAATCATCCAAGGTTCAAGGATCCCAACCCATGAACGAAACGAGCGGCGCTCCAAACCGCCGCTATAATCCTATCCTTGTTCAAGAAGTTTACTTAGCCCATAAGGAGTAGGAGACCCTTTTCTAGTCGGTTTGAGATGCTTTTAGCCGAGTTCCTCGCGTTTAAATAGAGGTCATGACTCATTAGGTCAGTAAGACTACACAAACACACAAAAACCTTTGTACTCTCGTCGAGTAAGAGCTTAGATTTCATAGGAGAGTTTGAAGCTAAGGAGATGATGCCATCATCGATGTTGGTACCCTCCTTTATGTAGATAGTTTGAAATTGATTGTATGAAGATGTGAACCCATTTATCTTTATGTGAATGAATGTTATAATTTCATGTCATGCTTGTGTTTATCTATGTGAATTTTGATGCTCATTGTCTATGCGTGGATACTTATGTTTGGATGCCTATGTGATTATCATTGTTGTTTATCTAGTATGAATGCTTCTTTATCATCGATGCTTATGATTCTATAGTATGCTACTATGTGGATTGTGCTTAGTATTACCTAGATTGATAAGAAATTACCTTCTAGTGATACCTCATTGATGCTACACGAGTATAAAGGGAATGATCAACCATCTATACCTCGAGTAGTATCAGTGCTTGATTGTTAGATCATTGATGATATAGACCATCGATTATGGTTTGTGTGTTACAACTTACAACTTCCTTGTTCTTCATTAATTAGGTGATGGCATGAAGCGAAAGCATACATTCGCTAGTTAAGTCTCTATCACAAGAGGCGCATGCACAGGTGGAGAATAGCTTTAGAGGAAGGGATAAAGTGATGCTATAGATGAATCATTGGTGCATATTGTGATTGATCCCTATTATGAATGATTGTACTTGAGTTTTCTCTCTTTTGCAATAACATAATTTTACTTTTATGCATCTATAAAATGAAAAACACTTAAACAACTGATTGTTGCTTCGATCAAGCGTTAAATTTATAAATTTAAAGTGCACTCACTCGCCAATCCTAACAAGGCTGAGTATAACCAAGCTAGGGATGTAGTAAAGTGGTTCGGTCGTATTCCAAGGGTCACAGTATCTTAGACTACCTAGGCTTGATCGTTATCTAGTCAACCTGCTACTTAGCAGGTGGGCAGATGACAGTTGACAATTATTGAACTGAACGTCGATAGGAAAGAAGAGGCACTCGGGGTAACTCCCTCGCTCTAGCCTAGGTCTATCATGAAAATGTCTAAACATATTGGGCTAAGCGA